AACACTGACATGCTCATCCTATCACGCGCGAATATACTAACCGTCGTTACCTCAGAAACTGTCGCCAAAGGCTAAAGATCACGGTGTCACGATGATTGCGGCTCAATGTGTTATGCCCGGTCGCGGCATAGTACAGAGCGTCCCATTCGCCAGTCCCTGGAGTATTGCCGCTTACCTGGGACGCATTCGCCGTGGATCTGTGATCGTCAGTGTACTGCTGCGGAGTTCATATCGAGTGGTCGGAGGCTATATTACCTGTCGCTAATTGATTACGTTGAACCTGGATTTCAGTCTGCAACAACCGACCTTCTAATCCAACACCAACGCATTTGCTGAGCAGTAGAGATGCGAAAATGGTTCTGCCCACTTGCCATAACAATATCGCTGTCCTCGTGTATGACCTCTACGTCAGAAGCCGACAGGCGGACAAACTCGAGGCGCATGTTCCGGCCTTAGCGAGCGACCCCTGGACCTCAATCTAATCTGCGCCAGCAGTTCGACCGAGAAATCCGGTCATTACCATTTTGCTAAGGTTCAAGTCAAGTTGATTAAGCTCCAAGCTTTGCAGCCAATTGTTTAGAGGAGTCTCGTCCCGTCTGGTCCGGAAGCTTCACCCTGCTTACAGGGTTCGGCGCTTCTGTTGTGTTCCTGCATTCCAACGAGAAGATCATTTGACAAAACTCCCTCAATGCTTCTCACGCATCTGAGAACGGGGTGTTGTCTTCCACGTAGACCTGGTAATATGACCGAGGCTGCGCGATGGACTCCCAGACAACACCAGCTAGCCAGCCACGTAGGTCGGAAGTAGCTCAAGAAGGGCAAGACCTGTGTCACTGCAGACTCGTCCCTGTACCATGCCTAGCGATGTAAGAACCTCGAGGATCTTGGCAATTACTCTTAGGGCTAAACCGTTGTCCAGGGAAAGACAACGAGCCTCATGACCTTTGCTACAAATTAAAATCCACGAGACCGGAACATCTTTCTGGAAGATTCGCTCGTATATGCCCATGGGTCGTGGACGAAGCAATCTAATAAAACCGGGTTTCGAAACCACTGGGTGCAGCTGTATGGCGAAGATGGATCTCTCAGGAGGATCGTCCGACCTCAGTGCCGTATGCCACTCCTCGTACATGAAAGATACGATCTACAGATGCGCAACGTGTATCTGTGAGGTGACTCGTGATACAACCACAGCGCCGTGTGTGAATCTCGAGATATGGTTGCGAGTGTTGATCCACAGCTTTGCCTTCGCACATACGAGGCTTGTCACTCGCCGTCGAATAGAATTGAGGGCTAAGACTCTGCTGCCAATAAGATCAACTAGCCATAGTACGTCTCCATATGCCTATCCGTTCATCACTTCCTACACTATCCCCTTGAGGCAAAGATCCCGGATGTCGTGGCGCACAGATCTCCGCAATACCCCAGACTACCCCACGATGGGGTCACGACTAGGAACGGTTCATCTACCCTTCATTACTCTGGCACTTCTAGCGTCTTTTCACACTCCCGACGTCCCGTCATTCTTACGGTATTGGTGAGAAAGACCTAGGGGACCGTCAAGGTTGCAGATCTTCTGCGCCTTGCAATTATCAACGGTCATATGGGTACTTGTGCAAAGTACCTTGGATAGTACCCGTCAGATGAAAGTTTTTGTATAAGAAGGCCATCTCAACCGTCACTGTTTCGATATCCCACAACAGACTTTCGATCCAACAAGTCACCATGTACAGGACACTCGCCCTCGCTTCTCTCTCGCTCTTCGGAGCCGCCCGCGCTCAGCAGGTTGGCAAAGAGACAACGGAGACACACCCTAAGATGACATGGCAGACTTGCACTGGTACCGGCGGAAAGAGCTGCACCAACAAGTCTGGTTCCATTGTGCTCGACTCCAACTGGCGATGGGCCCACGTCACCAACGGCTACACCAACTGCTACGACGGCAACTCTTGGAACACAACCGCTTGCCCTGACGGCAGCACTTGCACCAAGAACTGCGCCATCGACGGTGCCGACTACTCTGGTATGTAATTCCAACCCGCTACAGTCTGCCGTCTGACACACCTAGGTACCTACGGTATCACTACCAGCAGCAATTCTCTGTCCCTCAAGTTCGTCACCAAGGGCTCTTACTCTGCCAACATTGGTTCGCGTACCTACCTCATGGAGAGCGACACCAAGTACCAGATGTTCAACCTCATCGGCAAGGAGTTCACCTTCGACGTCGACGTCTCCAAGCTGCCTTGCGGCCTGAACGGTGCTCTCTACTTTGTTGAGATGGCTGCCGACGGTGGTATCAACAAGGGCAACAACAAGGCTGGTGCCAAGTACGGAACTGGTTACTGCGACTCCCAGTGCCCCCACGACATCAAGTTCATCAACGGTGTGGCCAACGTCGAGGGCTGGAACCCGTCCGACAACGACGCCAACGCCGGCCAGGGCAAGCTGGGTGCCTGCTGCCCCGAGATGGACATCTGGGAGGCCAACTCCATCTCCACTGCCTACACTCCTCACCCATGCAAGGGCACTGGTCTCCAGGAGTGCAAGGACGAAGTAAGCTGCGGTGACGGCGACAACCGCTACGGCGGAATTTGCGACAAGGACGGCTGCGACTTCAACAGCTACCGCATGGGCGTCCGTGACTTCTACGGCCCAGGCATGACCCTCGACACCACCAAGAAGATGACTGTCGTCACTCAGTTCATCGGCTCCGGCTCCAGCCTCTCCGAGATCAAGCGTTTCTACATCCAGGGAGGAACCGTCTTCAAGAACTCCAACTCTGCCATTGAGGGCGTCAGCGGCAACTCCATCACTGAGAAGTACTGTGACCAGCAGAAGACCGCCTTCGGTGACACATCTTCTTTCAAGACTCTCGGTGGTCTCAACGAGATGGGTGCCTCGCTTGCTCGCGGCCACGTCCTCGTCATGTCCCTCTGGGACGACCATGCGGTCAACATGCTCTGGCTCGACTCTACCTACCCCACCGATGCCGACCCAGAGAAGCCTGGTGTCGCCCGTGGTACCTGCGCTACCGACTCTGGCAAGCCCGAGGACGTTGAGGCCAACTCGCCCGGCGCGACTGTCGTCTTCTCCAACATCAAGTTTGGTCCCATTGGCTCCACCTTTGCCCAGCCCGCATAAGCGCTCGATGAGGTTTCTGGTAAATTTCGGCGAAGGACTGACGGCTTTGGGCTGTAAGAGCGGGTGGGTCTCCTTCGACCGTCCTCTCGCTTTGCTTCAAATTTGTATATACTTGTGGTGGATTTAGAAAGTGTGCATATAGACAAACAGACTGCATTACTCACTGTTGAGACCTGTGAAAGTATCTGCTTCGTGAAGGGTGCTGACTTAGAACTCGTTGTCCAATGCTCTCACTCGCCTTTTGTATTTCTAAAGCCTTCGTGCATCTTTGACATCTGAATAGTTTCGTATTGCGTCTCCAGTCCTTGATTCTTCGTTTGAGCTGCTTGTTCCTAGTCTTGATGTGTGAGTCAATCGTACATCGGCTAAACGCGTTTATTATGAAAGGTAATCGAGCTCAACAAGCTGACCAAGACGCAAACCCCCACATGTGATGTGGAGGGGCGTACAGGTATACTTGGCTTCTCCTTTCTAGCTTCCCCTTTTCATCTCGACTTGGCAAAGCGACAAAAGGCTTGCCCAGCACCAAGACGAGCATTCGAAAGTGGACGCAGACTTGCATGTACATCTCGACAGACTTACACTAATCCAACATCAGTGATCAAAGGAAACCTCAATTTTGCACGTAAATATGGAGTTGGAGGACCGATGATTATGGGTCTGGGCGGCTCCTAGAAAATTTGTTAATATACCCATCCAGGTGTCCAAACCTACCATCCACAACTGGTCATTTCGCGAGTTGATAGCATCACCTCTCGCACATGAAATTCATTGACATCGATAAAAAAATTGCAATTGCCTACCCTCGGCTACTCAGCCGTCTTCGCAAAGTCTATAGAGCGTCTAGCCCATCCAGATCCGTGCTCACAAAAGAAAGATCGCATCCTCGTCCTCGCTAGCATATATACAGTTTCTGTGGTATTGCTGTAAGATTTCTGCCCATCTCGGGTCTTGTTGACGTGCCGGAGGTATCGTCTACTCCTTCTTGACGGTATCCGGGTCTGAGAGGATGCCCTCGGCTTCGAGTCTTCGTCGCGCCTCCTCTAGGGCCCAGGTCTGGATGCTGGCAGGTTGTTAGCTTTGACCAATTATAGCATCTCCGCTTCGCTGTTCCTGGTTCATGTTTTCCGCTACCCATCGCCTGCCTATGACTCCTCCATCTGATCCGTCTCTTGGCCCGTTCTCCGTCCATCTCTCACAGGTGAAATTCGCACGTACCTAGTATCCGGCTTGAAAGCATAAGCCACAACGCCAAAAGCACAAGCTCCGCCGAATCCCCAGTACATGGCGTTCTCCCACCCCTCCTTCTCATACTGCTCGCCGGGCTTGACACCGAAGAGCCATCCGGATGGGGGGTCGTAGCTGGGTCCGTGGCCCGATCGCGTTGTTTGTGACTGTGAGAAGGCCCGGCGGGGAGCTGCTGTGCGGGCGGTAGCGGTGAGAGCGGTGCGCGAGGCGCTGGTTGCGGCGCGGACGGAGTTCATCGTGGTCTGCAGTCTCGCGAGGACTCAATTGAAGGGTGGGTAGAGTTATATGATCGTTCCCGGCGCAGGGGGAGGGGGTTGTGGTTGATGCGGATAGGTGGATGATGACCGACGTTTGAGGTGACCTCGGGAGGTTCCGCATTCGCTGTGAGGGCTTGGCGTGGCGTGGGAAACTAGTGGCGTCGGAGCATCATTAAGTTTTGGTCACCACATAAGAACCCTATTCATGGCGTCCACTTCGAATTGGTGACGCATGACAAGAATGTAATACAGTCTCAAGAGCGAACATGTAGTGTAACTAGTCTGTGGTATAAGAACCCATAACGCCAATGCTATGCAGATGAACCAATCAAACGCCAGGTGATCAAGGAATGCCTAGGCATAAGCAGCTGTGCGCTTCTCTTCAGTATCCTCCATCTCATCATCTGGCTGGTGGAACGACATCCTTGCCATGCTCTGAGATGCCTCGTCGACTTGTTCTTCTGTCTCGTCCGTCTTGACTGACTCCCTCTCCTTGCGGTTCTTCTCCACTGCCTCCAGTTCCGCCAGCCTCGCAGCAGTTTTCTCGGCTTCTTCCTTTTCCCGCTTCTCGCGATCCGCCCTCTCCAGTGCTTCGAATTCATCGTCAATCTCGCCCTCGTCGAGAGGCTGGTCGGTTTCGTTGATGATGTTCGTAATCTCTTCCGTAGTCGCCATTTGTTCGTTGACGGCATCAACAACACCTTGAACGCCCTCTGCACCGCCAACCTTCTCGTTGAGACCCTTGAGCGCAGCAGCACCAGCGCGCATGGCCTCCACGATCTCGACTTGATCAGCTGCGTGTTGTAGGTCTGTGTAGACTTGCTCGAGCTGGAGGGCAACATCGGAACGCTGCTTGAGAGCGTTCTCGGCAAGCTTCTTCGAGCGCAGTGCAGCTTTGGCGCGGACCATCTGCTTCGCAACCACGGCCTCCCGTGCCGCTGCATCTGCCAGAGCAATCTTCTCCATAATTGGCGATATCTGGGCGTTGATATTTGCTAGTGTGTCGCGGAGATTGGCGATGGCGGCATCCTCTTCCGTAACTGGCAGAGGCACGTCCTCGTGCTCCGGCTTGAACTTGATCGTCTGCTCGTTGTAAGATATCGCTTGCTTGTCTCTAGCGAGGAATGTAAGGACAATGTCCACATCGTTTGTCGTAAGCGGTGCAGTTGGATTGAGGACAGTCGCGAAACGTTTCAGGAAGTCTGTTTTTGATAGCACCCGATCAGCCGTAGACGTGTGCTCCTTCATCTTCTTCAGTATCTCGTCTGCAGCAACCTCCACATTCTTGACGACCACAAAGTTTCCAACCTCCATCTTGGCTGGCGCTTGTACCTGCCCCAAAACGCCAACCTGCCGCAGACTCCACTGGAGCACCTTCCATGGTGATGGTATCCACGATGTCTTGTATATGCTTTCTTTCGCTGTCAAGAAGTCCTTCAGGGGTACCATCTCCTTCTTCTGGACTGCCTCATGGAACACGGCCGGCAGACAGGTGGGCTTGCCATGTTGCGGGTGTTGCAGGGCTCGCGCGAGCTCGTCGGCGGCTCGTATGCTTAGGAGATCGTGTGTGGTACCCTGTCTGGGAACGACACCCGCTCGCGAGGCGTCGACAAGCGCCTTTGTCCATGCGGCAATGTTCGCATGGTAGCCCTCGGGGTTGATCTCGAGCTGTTGCCGAAAGTCTGCATAGAGCGATGCGAGGCGGTACTGGCTGTGCTGGTCAGCAGTGCAGAGGTTGCCAGGCTACGGCTGGCCTTACTTCCTAAAGGCCTCTTCGTGCTGCAAGACGAATTCTAGCAGTTCACTCATGTCGCGCTCTGGTTCGGGTACCCACTGCGCCCGGCTGTGTTTGGAACGGAAGAGCGAACGCTTCCGCTTATGACGACTAAGCGTGGGGTCGTCGCTAAAGATGGAGACGTGGGGGCCGCTGGCCAGGTCGCGAGATGGCTTGCGTTTGAGCATGTGCGTGGTCAAAACAACCAGAGTAGTAATACGAGGTAACTAGACGGCATCTATTAGGGTCTAGTGCAGGGTCAGATATCCCGGTAGTATTATGTAGACTATCGTACAATGCGGGCGCGTGCAGCTGTTTGCCGACGCGACGCGCTGTTTCAAGATCCAACCCCACTAAGTGCCTTTCCCTTCATCCATGTGACAATCGACTCAGTCACTGCCTATGCTCCACTAGCGGTGCTCCTGTTTCCTTGCTTTCTGCACCCATACTCTGTAGAGAAAGGGCCCTGCGTTAAGCGTTTTATTGTTATGCGCTTCATGTTGAACCACCCGTTGCTATTACAAGCGAAAGAGGCTTGGTCATGCGGTCGTCGCGACGACTATGCTAGTATATCCTACTTCACTTTCTGACAACATTGATGCCGGTGTCATTCTTCTTCTCCATGAACTGTCGCATCTCCTCCAGGTCGTCCATGTCGTCATCGCTGTCGTGGCTTTTGGGCTTTGCTGGAGGTTTCGATGGAGGCTTCGATGTGGGGATTACTTGAGGAGCGTTCTGCGGTGGTGGATCGCGCATGTCTTTGGTCTCGTCCTCCCATGCCTTCCTCTCTTCTTCATCTAGCTCGTCCCGCCTATCCAGCCACCTCTCCTGCACATCGCGGGCGTCCATAGTCGCCCCGTTCTCGCGCATAGCCATCTGCCACACTGTGTCGTTTGCGCCTTCTATGCCGCCCATCGCAAAGCCGCCTGCACGATCGATAGCCCGCAGCAGCGTCATCATGCTTTTCTTGTCTTCTACAGCCAGTGTCTCGAACCCTACCAGCGCAAAGTCCTCAACGAGCTCCACGATCGCCTTGTTGAGCGCGGAGAACTTTGATGTTGGCTCGTCGTCGTCTGGGTCTACGTCGTTCGTGCCAGCTGTTGTAGGGCCTGGAATGCCAGATGTCTGTTCGCGGTTGAGGTGCGGCAGGAGGTATTGTAGATCCTGGACTTCAGTGTAAAAGTCGAGGTTGAAAGGCAGGTTTGGGTAGTTTCGGAGGTTGTCGATCTTTGTGAGGACGTTCAAGTGGGGCAGGTCCATCTGCAGCATGCTGCGTAGGGCGAGTAGGAGAGAGGAAACGTATAGCGACGGTCGCGAGAGAATGATGGAGTCGGTCAGGTGTACGACGACGAGCTGGTCATGTTAGCCCCCAGTTGCAGGCCATGGGTGGTGGGCGAATACTCGATACCCAAGTTTTTGTAGGCGGAAGAAGATGTTGCGCAGCGAGCCGTGGTGCGTGAAGAGTTCGACCTGGCCGGGGCAGTCGAAGAGGACATAGTCGTCTGGAGCCATTAGTATACTTGAAGAGAGTCCGGTACTGTCACGAACCTCCAAGTTCCTTCAAGCCCTCTTCTAGCCAGTCGAAGTTGTGCTCCAGTTCCTCGAGCGCAAACAAGACCCCTCCGTTTGGGCCCAGAGTCTCCTGCTCCATGATCTCGTCTATTGTGACCAGGTCTCGGACGTCTAGAGCAGGCTGGTATGAGGTGTGGTCGTTCGCGGGGTCGAGGTTGACGACGGAACACTTGCGCTCGATTGCGCCCATGAACTGTTGCATTCCATCGCAGTAAGTCGACTTTCCAGAGCCCGGCGGCCCGATGACGAGTTGTGCGAAGGGCATGTTTGTCGGGGTGCAGTGACGAGGGAAGAAGCTGGGGAACTTTTGGAGGGGGCGTTAGCGTGCATCTCAGGTATTTGTTTAGTCTGCGGACTCCCGCCCTTGAGAGCTTCACTCCGACTCGCAGCTTCTAGAACCCGTACACCGTACTATCGCCAACATGTCAAGTAGGTCAGTCCACGCCTGTACGGGCCCCGTGCTAACTTGCCAGGCCAATTCGAGCTTGCGCAAAACCCGACCGAGCCCATATCGTCGGTCAAGTTCGCGACCAACAACCCAACACGCCTGCTTGTCTCGTCGTGGGATCGCCATGTCTACCTCTACGACACACATGCTGAGCCCGGCGGCAAGCTGCTCCAGAAATTCGAACACCGCGCGCCCGTACTAGATGTCTGCTTCGGACGCGACGACAACGAGGCCTTTTCCTGCGGGCTCGACTGGGAGGTGCGCAGAATCGACCTCGAGACGGGCGCGCAGACCATCATGTCTACACACTCGCAGGGTGTTCGCAACGTCCTCTACTCTGCCGCGCACAACCTCCTGATCTCGTCATCATGGGACTCCACACTGCACCTCCACAATCTGTCGCAACCCGGCGACTTTTCTGCTGTCCGACTGCCTTCCAAGCCCTTTTCGCTCTCCGCGTCGCCGACCAAGCTGGTCGTCGCCATGGCAAGCCGCGCAGTCAACATATACGAACTCGACAAGCTGGCCGAGGCTGCGACGAGAGGTGGCGGTGAGGAGGTCGCAGTGGAGCCGTGGCAGCAGCGGGAGAGCTCCATGAAGTACATGACACGCGCCGTGTCTTGCATGCCAAACGACGCGGGCTACTCCAGCTCGAGCATCGAGGGACGTGTAGCAGTCGAGTGGTTCGACCCGTCTGAGGAGTCACAGTCGCGCAAGTACGCCTTCAAGTGCCACAGACAACAGGTCGACGGCCAGGACGTCGTCTACCCAGTCCATGCGCTCGCATACCACCCAGTTCACGGCACCTTTGCGACAGGAGGCGGCGATGGTATAGTCGCCCTTTGGGACGCAGTAGCAAAGAGGAGGATAAGACAGTACCAGAAGTTCCCTGCTAGCGTGCAAACCATCGATTTCTCCAACGACGGTAAATACGTAGCTATTGGAGTCAGTCCCGGCTTCGAGGACGGCGTCGACGATGTGCCAGACGGTGTAACCAAGGTCTTCATCAGGGAATTGAGCGCAACCGAAGCGTCGGGCAAGAAGAAGTAGGCGTCATCAAGGTGCTGCCAAAGCTCCACGTTTGTCCGCGGCTGTGCCAAGTTACGAGATAAATATACCAGTTGGTCAATCGACCCCACCACCATCTCGAAGATCCAAAATCAACCAAGGTTGGTCTCTTTCTACGCGTGATACATATGCTTCAGCTCAGTTAACATACGTAAGGATCTTTGATCACCACTGCAGGCAATGGGCACCGAATTTTGATACGTCGAAAACCGGTAATACACCATGAAAACATATGGTCGAGAATCATTGCGAGCGTGCCAAACTCGATGTATGACAGCATCGCTGTACTCGTGGGAAACGAACAACCACCGAGGATGAAGATAGCTCCTAGTAGAACAAAGAGGCTTGTCTTTCCGAGGTTGTGACTTAGCCTAGAAAGAATTGCAAAGGTGTTGTATCCTATGTTTACATATCCTCGAGTCTATTGTAGTATAAATCATGAAAATGGACTCAAGGCGTCAGTTGTACCTTGAGAAAAGAACAAGCTTCTTTGTGCCCTGCATGAGTGTTGCGAAAACCCCTCGTCCAGCGAGCGCCACCACGTTCACATGCTTTGAGGCATAGTAACGCCCTCACGACAGAACGGACATCATGCACTCTTTTTACACCTTGTTCGGCCGTCTATGGTGTCGATGCTGACAGGACAGGGGTGATCATTCGTGCTCGTTCAATGAGCCGCAAGAGGTTTAGCTCGCGATGACCTTTATTGGCCAGGCGTACATACTTATCACTGACTAGCATTGTCTGCGAGAGACGCGATTGGCGAGTACCACTATCATTTAGTTGGTGGGTACGGGATCATGCTGACGAGGAGAGCGAGTTGGACCCATTGGTGTACTTTACATGCGCTAGCTGCGCTTCGTGAGATGCTTGTTGTAACAGTCGAAACATAGATATGCGGTTTGCGGTTGATGTAGAATGTATAAAAGCGGTGCATTCCGTTGAGATCGGCGCTCTTACACTCTCTTCGTCAAGTCCTCGCATCAGAACTCCTCAACAATAATTCTATACCATTATCCTTCGACATCAGGCTATCCACTAAAACATCCACCATGGCCACAGGGACATCCTGCTCGACCGAGTGCATCAAGGTGCTACTTCACACTGCTTGACGTTTTGTCTTCGCTAACCACCCCGCTTCAGGGCTCAATTCACGCAGGCAATCCCAAAGGTACTATCGAACAACTCCATGGCCTCTCCGTTTACATGGTTGGAAACCGAACCACTCCACGGGCAGTCATCTGCATGTACTCGGACATCTTTGGACTAGGTCTTCCCAACAACAAGATCATCGCCGATGCCTATGCCGAGTCAGGAGAGTACCTAGTGCTACTCCCTGATTTCTTCAAGGGCGATCCGGTTGGGTTGAAGGTTGCTGATGCATTGCTCCCTGTTGACGCCGCTGCCCAGAGTACCTTTGCCAAGTACACAGGTATCCTGACGAACATACCATCTTTTCTCATGTGGCAGAGGAGGCATGGGAAGGCGGAGTCAGATAAGATCTGCCTCGACTTTATGCGGGAGCTGAGACGGGCGACGCCGAGCGAACAGAAGATCGGCATGGTCGGATTTTGCTGGGGAGGGAAGTATGCTGTTCGCACGGGATTGGAGAGCAGCATGATCGAGATGGAGGGAGTGAAGAGGCCGCTTGTCGACGCGATCGTGGCGCTGCACCCAAGTCACTTGGTCGTTCCTGACGACGTCGAGGACCTAATGGTTCCCACGAGCTTCGGGTGGGGCGTAGAGGATTTTGCCGTAAGCTATGAAACGAAGAGCAAGGTGGAGGCATGTCATGCCAAAGCACAAAAGGAGCGCAAGGAGTTTCCGGAGATCGAACACAAATCGTACAAGCCCGGGAGGCATGGGTTCGCGGTTCGAGGCAACCCAGACGACCCACAGGAGAGGAAGGCCTTGGAGGATTCAGAGAAGCAGGTGCTCGCGTGGTTCGAGAGGTGGCTTTGAAGCTGCTCCACAAATTGTGTATAGTTGTACCTAGGTGAACCGCAGCCTGAAGTATCGCTGTGTTCTGCGTTAGTCCGCGTCAATGTAGCATGTACTGGGTACCTCCAGGCTACAGGGTCATTCTGGTACAATCGGAATAATGTGCTTCGTAGTCCTAAATTGGTATATCGTCTCCGCATATCCAAGCATTCCCTAGATGCGGCCCAGCGCCATACGCCCATCCTCAGCCCTGTGAAGAGCTCATCAGTTCCGCCTGTATTTTAGTGGAATGTTCTTCTCCACGACGCCTCTGAGCTCCAGCCTCTCCCACTCCTCTTGTGCTGCCTCCTTCTCTTCATGCATCTTGAAATGCGCGATATCCTCGGGGTGGTTCAAGTCCTCCTCTTTGACGTCGTCACCACTGTGGTACTTTTCCCAATGATGAATCTCGTACTCGTACTCGTCGTCACCGTGGTGTCCTGGGCCCATGCCAAAGTCTGGAAGCTTGACGTTCTCTGAATCCTTTTGTACGAATTCGGCCAAGGTGATGGAGCCGTCTTTGTTGGTATCGAACATGTCTAGGATAGTCTGGACGACCATTTGCTTCTTTGTCTCGGAGATGGAGGCGCTGGAGGGGTCTTCGAGGCCGTAGGTTCGGCGGATGTCGACTGCGGTCCAGAGGCCGGTGCTGTCGTAGTCGTGTAGGTTGAAGAAGGTAGTTGCGTCATAGCCGGAGATGTGGTGCTCCTCTGCGAGTGTGTTAGACGCTGCTCTTTCCTATGCGTTCATGCGGGGATCCCGGGAAGTCTATACCAGCCATGTGTCGCGTCGCCCAGTCGGCGTCCGGTGGGACTTCTACTTGCGTATGCTCATTCCCGCCATGCGCCGAGGCGTTGAGGGCGCATGACAAAAGCAAGAGCGCGCTAAGCGGCAATTTCAACATGCAATTCATGGTTTCCTGGGGGCACGTCGCAGGAGAATGTACCATGTAAAGGTTGAGTTGAGTCGTAGCCCCAATGTTGACGGCCAGGGGCTCGGTTCAACGACTGGCCAGCCGCCGACACTATGTCATAGGGGTCTAGACATTTCCACGTGCCTGCGTAGCCTTCTCACCGCACCGACAACACCACAAGCTCACAATGAACGTTCTACTCCTCCTGAGCCTGCTGCTCTTCATACCATTTCTCTTGTTCCTCGCATTCCTTGCTGCATCTTCTTGCATGGGCGACGGCTTCCGCGCAAGATTTGCTGGTGTGACATTCAATCCCCGAAACGCATCCTTTGGTCGCAACTACACGCGAGGCTTCGGATCTGGAGCAGGAAGCGCAGGCTGGGAACAAATTGAGATGGAAGACATGCTTGGAGAGGACAGCGACTCGGAATAAACAGCACAAGAAGTATGGCTTGACCGCCTTACCGGGTATCTTCATCTACACACTACCGCCGACGCGCGCCTTCTAGAACTCTAGATCCTGCTTCTTTGGCATCGCACTAGCACCCGCCGCCTCCCTTACAGCCTCCTCCTGCGCCTCAGTGTCGCCTTCCATCGGTGGCAGGCTGAACTTTGCAATCACAAACTTCCGTCTGCTCAATGTGAACGCCATATCCTCGCCCAAGTCTTCTGCTCCACCACCGCCGCCCTTTTCGTGAAACACGGGTAATTTGTGGACGGCAAGCATACCCTGCGGTCGTTCCTCGTCCTTTGTGGTGCCCGCCGATTGTGCAAGTGCTTGCATGCGCGAGTATGGAAACGGAGACAATTCGAGTACACCGTCTGAGAGGATCTCCATCCAGCGGACCAGCCCGGAGGATCTTGGATACAGGGTTAGTGGAAGCGTGACAACGGCGGTCAGACGCGTTTGGTATTGCCGGAGGAGCGCGCGCAGAGCATGAAGAAACTGAAGTATGTAGGTTGGATGGGCCGACGAGGAAGGGTATAGCGCTGGCGAGAGAAGAGAAGGTATCACAACGCGATGTATCGTTTGTGGTGGTGTTGACTCGAGCTGCTGCCGTATGTTTTGCAGAATCGAAGGGAAGGGCGAGGCAGAAGCGCCTGTCGGTGGAGGTATCGGCACATAGTTGATTGCTGTCCCTACCGGAAGCGTGAGACGTTTGGCCAGATCAAAGGTATGGCAGAAGATTGTCTGCTCTTCTGCTGCGTCGCCTTGGTTCGTTGTTCTCTGCGGATTGGGCGAGCCTGTCGCAAACCTCGTCAAAATTGTTCGGAATATAATTTCGCATTTCCAGAATATATACAAGACGCACCTCTAGCACTCTCAAATTGTCCAAGGCCTTCATACCTCCACGCGATCTTCATCTTCTCTGCTCGCTCCTTTCCTTCCCTCCTCTTGTCCGACTTGTCTTCTGATATGCCAGGCAATTCCCTGCCCCACACTTCACCCATGCCTACTACATGCACCTTGTGCCCCTGTACCACACCTTCCGCTGCATAAAACCTGAGCAATGCGCCGGCATAGTCAGTCGTTCCGCTCTCGCCTATGAGTATGGAGTTTCCCAGCGCTAGCCCAGCATGTCCTGCGAGAATGCCATCGAGCGAGGGTGTACCGGTGGACGTGGTGGGGCGGCCATCGATGGGTGAGGGTCGCACGCCTGGGGGCGTTGGCACAGGTTGAGCTACTGCAGGAGAAGAGGGCGAATTCAACGCGTCTTCTCCTGCTGGTGCGCGAGACAGTGCTATGTTGCGCTTGCGAAACGCCATTTTGAGGTGTTTTGAGCTGTGAGTCGCGACTCGAAAATGTTAGAGGGGCTATCGATAAGGCAAGTTAGTGCCAGACGTCATCCAGCCCTTGACCCGCCAGCCTTTCGCGAAATGAATCCATGTACTATGTAATGGAACTGCCGCCAAACTTTGGAGCTTGCATTGCATCTTGTTATCCAACACGAAGCACCTCAGTCCCAGTCTTTATAGCATCAGTAAGACGATCGAGCCTGCCGCACCTAATTCTGCCGGCTTGGATCAAGCTTAGCTAACTAAACAACCATACACTTGAACGAATCTCAACTCCTTGGGCTGACCTGGTTGGTCGTCAGACTACTCTCAGCACCATCCAGTAGGACTATCGCATTCAGCCATTGAATTACCCAGGAATGCATTACGCTAAGTCGTATCCGGCTAGAGCATCTCCTTAGTGTCCTTCTCCATCGAGGCCCTCACTCAATGCTCTCGGCATCCCAACGCCAATCTATCTTCACTTCCTCCTGAAGATCCATTGACATTAAGTCATGGCAGAAGATGGGGATATTGAGTCTGCTTTGATTCCAAGTCTGTATAAGCCGCCCGCTTTACTACCAATTGCACAACTCAAAGATCAACTGCTCTACACGATAGAGACGTACCCTGTGACTATTGTTGTCGGCGAAACAGGCAGTGGTAAGTTATCCGGTTTACACAGAACTGAATTCTGGAGCTGATTTTGTCGAGGCAAAACAACGCAGATACCAAAATTTCTGCTTGAGGCGGGCTGGTGCAATGGCGGCCAGCAAATAGCCATCACCCAACCCCGACGGATAGCATGTACGAGTGTCGCTGCAAGAGTAGCAGAGGAACTAGCGACACCCCTCGGCCAGAAAGTTGGATACAGCATTCGGTTCGAAGACGTTACGTCCGCAGCTACAAATGTAAAGTTCGTCACAGATGGATTGTTACTACGCGAGATGCTTGTCGATCCGCTACTCTCCCGCTACTCCGTCATCATGGTTGACGAAGCACACGAGCGCAGCTTGTCATCTGATATACTGCTGAGTCTATTAAAGAAAGTGCTGGTGAAAAGAGAAGACTTGCGCGTCGTTGTGAGCAGCGCCACACTCGAAGCCGAACGCTTTCTTGACTTCTTCAGTCCCGATCAAGGCGAGAAGGTTCATGGCAAGAGCAAAGAAGAATTCGGATGCATTGTTGGTATCGAAGGACGCACATATCCAGTTGAGATTCAATACTTACAGGAACCAACAAACAACTACGTCGAAGCATCAATCGACACAGTCATCAAGATCCACGAGCATGAGAGCGAAGGTGACATTCTCGTCTTTTTGACAGGGCGCGAGGAAATAGATGACGCGATTGACAAGCTGGGCGACCGTATTGCCGACATGTCCTCGTCTCAGCAAAGACTCATGCCTTTACCCCTCTATGCCGGCCTGCCCACAGAAGACCAGAATCTCATCTTCACGAAGCCACCGCAAAATACGCGACGCGTCATCTTCAGCACCAATATTTCCGAGGCGTCTGTGACCATCGATGGTATCGTCTTCGTAATAGACTCAGGATACGTCAAGCTCCGCGCCTACAACGCCAATATCGGCATCGAAAATCTCGCCGTCGTCCCGGTATCGAAAGCCAGTGCCACACAAAGAGCAGGTCGCGCAGGTCGAACGAGACCGGGCAAATGTTTTAGACTGTACCCAGAGAGCGTGTATGAAGGCCTGGAGGAAGCCACGTTCCCAGAGCTCGCCCGCTCAAACCTCGCCCCTGTAATTCTGCAGCTTCTTAACTTGGGAATCACGAATGTAGTACGATTCGACTACCTATCCCCACCGCCATCGGCACTCGTGACACGTGCCCTAGATATGCTGTACTCTCTGGGGGCCTTGGACGCTCACGCTCGGCTTACAAAGCCCTTTGGTATGCGTCTGGCAGAGCTTCCTCTCGAACCAATGCTTGGGCGCGCTGTGTTGAAAGCTGCTGAGCCAGAGTTTGGTTGCTTGAGCGAGATGCTCACAATAGCCGCTATGATGACGCTCCAAGGCAACGCCTTTGTATCCCATGATGGGGGAAAGAAACAGCTCGATGCAGCGAGGCGGAAATTTGCCGTAGCAGAGGGTGATCATCTTACACTATACAACGTGTACGAAGCCTTTGTGAAAGCTGGCATGGGTAACACGGCATGGTGCCACTCGAACAGTCTTAATCACAAGTCTCTCGTCAAGGCAGTCAGTGTCCGGAAACAATTGGCTGCCTATCTGGACCGTTTTGGCGTCAAGGAAAATGTTCTCGCATCATCGGGTGTACTGAGAGTTGGTGGTACCCCACTTGCGGAGCGTGTCCGCCGCTGTTTGACTACCGGGTTCTTCGCGCATGCTGCGAGGATGAAGGCAGATGGGACTTTCACCACCGTGGACGGGAAGACGACACTATGGGCTCATCCAAGTTCTGTGTTCTTCACGAGGAAGGCTGATTGGGTTATATACACGGAGATTCAGTCTACCAGAGACAAAATCTACATCAGAGATTTGAGTACAGTGGATATGGACTGGCTGACAGAGTATGCGCCAGAGTATTACAAGATCAAGAACGGCGGTCGATGAGATGGGGAAAAGGAAGAATCCTGCGGGTATCTATCAAAACTAAAGGCATAATTACATAACATCGTGAAATGACTGAGTGTCGCGCCATCACTTGCAAGCTTCCACGAATAACTCGCGCATGCCCTTTAGGAAGCCTGCTAGATCGCGTGTCTCGTTTAGTCTCTCCACAACCGTCTCGACTTCTTCGCGCTCAACCTTGGGCCGCATCTCCAACACTCTGTAGTCACGTTCGCTAGTGTCTAGCTCAAACCATGCCTCGCGATCCCACTCTCGCTCGTCGACGTTGGTATACACAAACTTGAGTCGATCGTCCTTGCCAAGTCCCTCGATTCTCAATCCCAGATAGTTTTCCCAGAAGTCGAGTTCCGGTTCGTTGTACCGGCTCTGGCCATCAAGGTATCTGCGGTGCTTGAGTTGGGCTTCGCGGCGTGCGGAGATGGTCTTTTGCACTTCAGCAATCTGTGTGCGGAGGCTGTCGCGATGCGCTAGGCGCTCGTCGCGCTGGAGGGTAAGGGCGGAGATGGCCTCTTGCATCTCAGATGTTTCTTGGGATTCCTTGGAAAGAGTCTGGCTGTGCTGGGCTGTCTTGAGTTCGAGAATCTCGATGTCGCGCTTCTTCATGCGTTGATCCTCTGCAGTGGAAGTTAGCATACAATCGTCAGCGCCGAGACAAGCCATCCCAACTTACCATGGAGTTCTGCAACGTTCATGCGAAACTGGTTGCGTTCTTCGAGCACTCGTCTTCGTCCATTTTCGATAAAGGCGTCAAATCGTGTAGTGAACTGGTTCATGCGACTGCGCAAGTCGTCGAATCCGAAATTGATGCTGGGTAGTTGGTCGGCCATGGACGGCGCATCGTGCGAGGAAGCGCGCATGGTGGTGCTGAGTGAGGGCTCGAAGGTCGTCATGGTGGGTGTGTTATCGCAGGGTACTTTCAGTATTCTGTGGTGCGCAGCGATTTGCGATTATGTCGTGGATGCGGTTAGATGACGGTGGTGACGGTTTCGATGGTTGCTCCGTAAACAAACATCCGCGCTAATGCGGCAGGAACAAGAGCGGGGCGCATGCACGTGCCGACGCGACTTTTGACGCTAGTGGAACTTTTTGGTTTGTTCACTCTCATCATCGCGTTCGGCATTCCCAGGTTTGACAGACATCTTCTCCGCTCCCGCCTACGACCATTTGCTTCCTGTGCCCGAAGTATGAGTTTATACCGCAGCGCTGTTACCGATCGAGAACCTCTACGACAGCCCAATGGCTGACAAGTCGCTCAAAGACCTGAACTACGGCCATCCTGGCGTCGCGAGTTATGATTTAGAAAACAGAGGATGGGCCTTTGCTAGGAACTATAAGAAGCGAGTCTTCAAGCAGATTCTAACTCCAACGACCTCGTCTTCTACGCGAAATCATGCGACACCTAAAACAGCACCACCGTTCTCTCTAAAAACACCAGTGAACAGGACGAGCATACAGGATGAATTCAACAATACAGTTCAAGACGAACCCCTGCTCGCCCCGGCTACGGAGATAATTCCAGACCTGGCCTTGGTATCTGCTGCTATCTCTTCCGCGGCTTCGACCTTTGACCCTCTCGTCAGTGGCCTTTTATCTTTCGGTTCAATCACGCCCAGGGGTAGAGATGAGGCGTGGCGGATGGCTGCGTTGCCCACCGGTGAGACCGGAAGTATACTGCAATTGTGTATTTTGGATGACGAAACGCATGGTTGGACAACCGAACCGAGGCCATGGGTACGAGGGCAAACGTTGAAAGCTGCAGAGAGCGGATTCTGGAACGAGGAAGCGGCACCGATACAGCAGGTTTGCTTTGCACATTCAGAGGAAAAACGGCCTTTGCTTGCCGTGCGACTTCCCACACGCACTGTTCTATTTCACCCGGACTACGACCGTCAACCACACGCTGCCGCAATTTCCCCGTTCTACCGTCTGCCAGCTTCCACCATCCAACCGAACCGCATACTCAGCATACACCAGAACGACACAGGTGGCTTTGCCCATGTCGATGTTGCCTTTAACCCGGACTTTCAATTACAGTTTGCGCTGGTCGACCAAAGCCAAACGTGGAGTGTATGGGATATCGAGCACCGGCTTAGGCTTGGCACATATTCGGCTTCATGCATGCTCCGCGGAAAGGTCAATGATTCGGATGACGGAGATACAACTGGCCAAGACGGCTGGGCAAGGGTTCTGTGGGTCGCCGATGTTACGACATTGATGGTTTGCAACAGGCGCCACTTGAGCATCGTTAGCATCAGGGGCGGATCAACTTCGTATTTGCCTTGTCAAGAGATATTCAGCGAACGGTCCGCGGACTGGATTCTGGATGTTAAGTTGCATCCAAAAGACCGCAGTAGAGTATTCGTCTTGACCTCTACTCGACTCTCACTGATTGCAGTCACTCCACCGAGTGAGCTCCAGTCAAGTGCCGACGACACAGGCGCTAAGATACTTCTATTATGGCGGCACTACAGGGGCGCTGAAGACTTTACGCTTGGATTGAGTGCGCAAACGCTGGCAGACGATGGTATGTGCCAAGCTCAACCTATGTGAGAGGCCGACTGACCGATGAGCAGAGACGTGCGTGATGATCCATTCTCGTGTCAACAACCTCGTCCAAGTATACAGCTTTGTCGAGCGTGATTCTGGGCTCATTACCGCTCCTGATCCGACTCTGCTAAATCTATGCCTTCCGGACCCAGGGCAGATTACGAACATTTTCATCGAGACAATGGAACAACGAGAGTTGATGTCCGAGATTGGTTTTTTCCAACTATTTGTGACGCAGTCTGACTTGAGCGTCCACGAGCTCATTGTATATACCCGGACCTCTACGGCGGACGACAGGATCGAGGATGATTATGCCATTGCAGATTTTGAGCAAAGCACGATAACACGTCCCAGGAATCCCCCAATCAGGTCTCGTAGGATCAACAAAGACGAGGATTTCGTAAGCCCTGACGGACTACCTACAACAGCATTGCCATGCTCGAAAATTGCAACACCACAGTCGCATTGGCATGACAATCTGAATGATAGTACTGCTTACGAAACACGAAACAACAGCCTCTTGGGTGAGGTGATGTCGCAGTCCAAGAGCTCAGCAGAGGAGTCTGGCGCGATGGATGCGGTGGCGGTCATGGACCAGGTGAACGAGATGCTGGCGACTGGTGCAGACTTGCCATCTCTACCATTGGGTACTTTGTAAGTGACCCCTGCTCACATCAGGTATAAACTAACATTCACAGGATGGAGTTTACGCGCACGCATTTCGACGTTGCAGATATTGACGAAGCTTCGTCCAACTTCGAAGAGTTGTTTTCTTCCGGATATGAACAAGACACAATGGACGTTCAGCGTATTGCACCTATGTACGTGCTTGGTTTGGCTCACGACAGTGACCCTACGATTTCGGACGTGTACGACACTATACTCCAGACATGGATTGCGCCTCTTCCCACAGAAGTGCCGATCCGCGTTCGTCAACGCTTGGAACGTCTGGCTCGGCGGGTTGCCACGGAACTGATGTTCTCAAGTACTTGTATACGTGATGATCGAAGGCAGGGGTCTGCCTCCAGCACGCAGCATGGACAAAACAAGGGCGGTGGTGTCGCGTTGCCCATCTTGCCATCAAGGCCCAAAGAAAGTGCTTTTTATCCCGTTTCAAACTATCCGATCTCTCAGCCGCTACCGACACCACCATACTCATCTATGCCTCCGCCCTCTGTGCTGGGGTCATCTCCGCCAGAAGCGACTCCCACTCCTCCCGCCCTACCCGATCCCCTCAGTCGCCTCAACAAGTATCTCTCGACTTCCAAAGACCCGGCGATAATCCACCCGAATGTGGCTCAAGGTCTCGCGCACTGGCAGTTAGGAAGTGATCCTCACGCGTACGATTGGGCCAGCCTAGAGCGTGCTCTCCAATCTGAAGATCTTGACGAAGAGAGCCAACTGCAACGCGAAAAAGAACGCAAGAAGAGAGAACGTCGGGAGAAACGCCAACAGCGCGAAAACGAGCTTATGAAGGCCAAGCTTGAGCTCACGAGGAGTAATGCCGTCAGTCAGCCTACCGCGTTCCCTAGAAGCTCTCCAGGACCCATGTTGGGCGGCATGGGGAACAGCAGTCAGGTATCAAGTCAAAGTCAAAGTCAGATCCAGGTACCACCTCATGGCGGCAGCTTCATGATGCCGCAAAGTCAAGTCGAGCGCGGCAAATTTGGAGGGAAGTTGGACAAAAAGAAGAAGAAGAAGGGTAGGATTAGTGGGTTCTAGTCTTGATGGCCTTTGGGCATATACAGAACATGCATTTCCGAAATGATGTCTGATTCGGTGCCGTCATCAGCGCGGAAAGAAGGAAGATCTTCCCCTCAAAGTGGGGTTGGAGGGGTAGCCTCCCCATACCACCAACTACATAGCTTATCCTTACCGCGGATCCGTTCCTAGGTATCAAGTACTTCATCCATCATCTGCGTCCACAAACTATTCCACAATTCCCTCTGAACAACCAAATCAACATGTCAGGTTTCCCATCTCTCCAGCCCGCTTTCACAGTCCGCGTCGACATCGATGCGCCGATGCAAGTTGGAGGCCAGCATGGCGCACAGCTCGTCATCGTTCCGATGGTTTCTGGTACGGTGAAGAGTGAGGAGGGCTTTGAGCCGAAGTTGGATGGAGAACTACATGGCGTTGGCTACGACTACATTCACAATGATGCCGACGGCGGAAACATGCGCTTGGACGTGAGGAGTCAAGTCAAGTGAGTGGGAGGCTGACAAAATTGCATTAGGCAGAGCATGGACTAATGGTTGCATAGGAACCATGACGGCACGGTTCTGGCAATGTATTATAAAGGTACTGTGAAGCTCACGCAGGGAGTCGGCAAAGTGCTGTCTGGTGCTCCCGATGCTAAGACAACCGACTATGGCGATTCATTTGTCAACTTCTCCTTTGAGACGGGGAATGAGAAATACAAGGAACTTCAGAATGGAACCTATGTTGCTGCAGGCCATTTCGTAACGGGTGAAGGCAAGCCGGGCGTTGTGGTGGAGTACAAGGTCAGTAAGGTTGTGTACAACGCCAGCCAGGGCAAAATGTAGGAGGTAAGTCTGTTATCGTATCTTTGTTTGGTGCGAGTTACTGATTTCTCCTAGGGTTACTGTGGGAATATCGCGATCCTCGTACTTACTGACTGTATCAAATGCCTGTATCGGTTCCCCGTTCTCATGTCTTGACCCTCTTTTGCTAGTGCGTGCTGAACTGCCTTTACCTTGTCTCCTCAAGCCACCTCGCAGGATCGCTGACATCTGTGGTTCGTGACTGATGTAGAGTAAAATCCCACTCACCTTGACTAAAGATTCTTGTCTGTTACAATTGCAACAAGTATTACTGTGCGTTTGCCTTGACGCTCCTGATTTTGTTACATCCACGACTTACCCTTACTCCCGATCATACCACGCTTTCTGCACCACAGGATCATTGCCATATTCTGAGAACCAATCAAGAGGTCAACATCACTGCATTACGCTTGTGAACCGTTGCTAATTTGATGAATCAGACGCCCATTGCAAGCTCACCAGTAGGATGCCTGCGCTATCGCAGCCTCTGATGGGTTCGGCAAACCGGTACACTGCGGCCATGTTTGATAAGCATTACGAGGATGAAAACTATTTCGGATTCGAGACGCTTGTTGACCCCAATACCTACAACATCCAGGTCAAGGCCTACATGGACAAGAACCGATGTCGTCTTCAAGATTACATGGTCTTAGTTGGCACATACCACACTCACTTCGGACGCCAAAAAGTATGGGCGCGGCCCACGGGCCTGGAGGTTGAGTATTACCACGGCTTGCCGGAAGCGCTCGAACTTGCACGAGTAGATGATCTGTTCGAAAATCGCATCTACTACGTCCCGCCGTTCAGCTACATGTCCACCTCTCAGAACACGCGTATGAAGAAGGAACGTCTTTACGGTATGAAGGTAGTTGAGACAGTTGTCAACGCCGTCTTCCTGAAGCAAGGCTGGCTCGTTCACTTCGAGGTCGACTCTGATACAGATGCGCTGGAAGCTTTCAAGCATGCATGTATCAACTATGAGCCGAGGAAGATGGAGGCTGCAGACAAGGCCAAGGTTAAGAAAGAGAAGGAGGACTTGAATGAGGAGTATCAAGCTCGCGCTTGGGGTCGTCAGAACAATCATTGGGATAGGGGATCATCTTTCTCCCATGCCAACGGCCAGGACAGATACTCTCCAGGAGGACTACCATCTCCACGCGTCAAGACTGAGCCTACGGATGAGAACAGCGGTCTTTTCCAAACCCCAGACATTCCCAATCGTGGTCCGCAAACCCAAGCTGGTTTCCCCACTCGAAAGGGTGATACACAAACACCCGGTCTTTCACATTCTCCTATACGCCGCCCTCCGGCTCCAACCACTCCACGTCGTAAGTGCATTGATCTGATACTCACATCACCAAGCTAATGTACTTGTATCAGGCCGCCAGCCACCCACATATGTGAGTATATCAGCTTTGTTATCGTCCGTAGCAAAGACATCAGTTTCATCGCTAACTTGTGACAGGCTCAGACACAGGCTTACGAGGCTGACCTCCGTACACAACTACAGCAAGCAAACCGTGCTCGCGAACAAGATCGTACACAGCTACGGCAGGCGGAGGAGAGGATCAAAGAGCTTGAGGGCATTCTCATTGCCATGGGTGGATACTAGAGCGCTTGGTGGCTGATTTGAAAGCGATGTTGCTGGAAGGTTCCCATCTGGACGAATTCCGTGCGAGTTGACTGTGCATGATTTCGTCGAGCAATGGGGGAGCAGGATAGACAGATGAACGTTACACTGGATCACTGGGAGACTATCACAGGCGAAGAGAGATGGAAACACTGGAACAGATTGACAGTCGGAAGGATAACAAGTCGAGGAAAAACGTGAAAACTGATTTTCTTCCACATGTGTGAGCAAAATAGTATCTTCAGACGAGTCGAATCCAGGAGAGGAATACCTAAGAAAGTACTCATAGTATAAGGTATGAAGATGCCAAAGATGATGAAAACGACGGTAGCTACAGTACTGGCGATGACTGTGGGGTGGGACGATCGGGAGGAAGAACATTATGACCAGTGAGTAGTAATGGAGTGAATCCGTGCGGTTGCAAGGTTGATGGCCATCATGCTCAGGTTTCCATATCCAGCGACGCTTCTCATGTTGATCGCACTCCGTCTCCAACATCAGCTAGTCGCGGCGGACCGGCCACTTGGATAGACATTGAGATATGCTTTTCTGTTGATGGCAATAATTTTACCTCATTTGCATACATAAAACCCTCAATACTAGGCTGTCATCTCCTTCGCTCTGCCACCCTATCAATCCTGCTCACCTTCACCTCTTTGATAGGATATTGGGCGTTTGCTCCCACTTTTAGCGCGTCTCGCATGAAGTACAGCTTCTCCGCACTGGTGACTCCCTCCACAACAATATTACTTGTCCGGCTATTTGTCGCTGCAACATATGTGAGTTCACGAGAGCACATATATCTTCAGCCTTCCGCTAATTATTAGACTGGTTCACTACAACATTTCACCTACGCATCACACAGTTCAGCTCGCCGGCCACCATGATGGTGAGAAAGAAATACGTGCTTGGTGATTACGCCAAGTATAGCACGGGTAGACTGGCAGCTCCATTTGCTAGTATCTCCAATATGGAATCCTACGAATTCGCCGAAAAGTTATACGTGGACGACAAGCACCGTGCCCACCGGTGCCACATGCTCCTCGTCGGCCACTACTCACGGAAGTCCGGAGGTCCGCCAGTATGGGCGCGTGCAACAGGTGAACGAGTTTGTTACTACTCAGGAGCTGGAACTTAGGTCAATCCGTTAGTTCAGGACATACACTCTTCGAAAGTTTACTACGACCCCCCCTTCAGCATTATTGGTGGCTCGCAAGACTACAGTAATGCAAGGCCTGGTATGAACCCGGAACGGAAACTTGAGCGCGCGGTAGTCGAATCTGCAATCAACCTCATCTTTCTGGCGAGTGGCCGCCTAGAGAAGGTCTTCGACGTAGTGAACCCGGACCTACTGGGCCACTTCAAACTTGCGTGTGCGAATTTAAACCGACACCGGAAGCCTCTCCATACTACCGGCGATGCCCTTATTCTAGGGGCGAGTTTGATACCACGTCGCGGTGACAGCATTCTATCTTTAGAGCCGCATGGACAACTTCACAGCAAGGATTTGGTTCCGATCGATTCACGAAAACGACGATTCGTAGACAGCAGGGATTTGACCAATGATTCGTCACAGGGTAATTACAATACCGATATATCTTTCGGACTCTGCTAACAATTTGATGTAGCCTTGATCAAACGTGCACGTCTATTCGTAAGTCATCCCTTACCTTCAGCAGGTGAACTTCGTCAATGGTCACTAATCTCATGCTTCAGGATCACATCAGCAGCTATGAAACAGAGATGCGCGCGGAGTGGGAGCACGAGATTCTAGATCTGAGGGCTCAGCTCGAGGAACAAAAGGCGAAGACCAACGCGGCAAAAGAAAGACACAGGCGAGAAAAGACCAAGCGTCGGGAAGCGCAGGTACAATCTGAAGCATGGAAAAGGAAATATACCACGCAACAAGACCGACCGGAACAAGCTGTATCAGACGTCAAACTAGAGGAAGAAGAAGAGGAAGAGCAAGACTGGAAGTCCATGCTCTTCGAGCAAGAGAGACGGACCGAGCATTACAAGGCCAAGTTTATCGCAATCAAGGAGCAGAAGGTTCATTGGGATATGAAGCAGAAGAAGATGAGTGACGCGATCTATGCCCTCGAATCCAAGATCGTGCGCCTGAAAAATCAGATCGGGAATTTGGAGGCTAGTTTCGGGAAGCAAAAGGAGGAGCTCGTGAAGCAGTCACGAGAACTTGCCAAAGAGACGGAAGCACGAATTTTCTGGCAGAGGAAGCATGCGGATTTGCTGGCTGACTCACGAGACCATAGACTGCATCGTGCCAACTCAGCAGCTCGACAAGACGTGAGAGCTCCACTATACGGTAACCCTATATCACGTCAGTCGGCATATCGTACAAACAACACAGGAGCACACTGGAACTGAAACTGCGATCCATATGAACAAGATGGTGTGGGTTGGGGCCGATCGAAGCAGAATGATTTGCAAGTACTCTCTATAGAAGACTAAATGAGCCAAGTGCAATGCTTTCACTGTCCCCATAAGTCTTCGCGTTTAAAGTTGCAGTCATAGGTTGCTATCAAGTAGATGTCAACGTATCCGAAAGATGATGTTTTCCATAGTTTGAAAGCACGCCAAGGAGCCAGATGGCCAACTTCGCCTACATCCTGTCCCCCAAGATGCGGTTCTGGCCTTTCCTACATTCTCCGAAGAATGACCAACGCCGTCGACCTCCAACGTCTCCTCAGAACCTCAACCCAAGCCCAAGCCTCGGGTGGGTACCCGCTCTACACCCAACTACATTGCTTTTCCGCGGCACGGCTTAGCGTACCCTCATGACCGTCCTCTCTCCACTGTTCCTACTGCAGTGTGGCAGCACCCGTCTCCGCGATTGTTGAACGGCGCTCAATCACCCACCACACCACGAGCCAGGTAGGTAACACGATAAGACCGCATGCGGTCAAGCATTGCTTCTGAAGCGACTGGGCCTCAAAAGCGTTGGTCGGATGAGTGTATGCGCAGTACAGTCGTTATCTGGCAGAGATCTATCAGAATCGTACGTTGAACAAGGATCCCCACGTCACGGCCATCAATACAGTACCAAACATCCTCACCGTTTCATCCGCCGACACCGTGGGGAGAAAGAACGCAAGGCGGCCGTTTGTTAGTCGTATGTCTTAGTGTGGGACACGTTGTGCAGGTGAGCTATTTTCCGAACTTAAAATGGCGCTAACTTCAAGGGGGTGCGGAAGTTGGATGACGGATGGAAAAGCAATGCTTGGCTGCGTTTGAGCTTTACTGAATGTGATGGCGATTGCAGGAGTTGCGGGCCTGACGCACCCTGGGTTCGAAGCTGTATTGTAGATCTTATCGAATCGATCTCCGGACAGTCGATTGTGAATGTCAAGGTTGTAGTTGTGATGTATCGGCCAATCTCCGCCAATGACATGTCAGCACAGCGGTCATCTCTGTTACATATCTGGGTGAACACACGCATAAAGGACGAGATGATTTTGATTGGTGTTGATTACACGCTATTAAACTTGGTACTAGGATGCAGTCGACGAATGGAGAGTCGAGACTGGGTGCCAGTGAGGCAGGTATCTGAGAGTGCAATCAGTCATAAATCGAGACCGCCCTCGCTTCATGCAATGTCGTTATAAATGGAAGAAAAGAAAGAGATGTGGATGAAAACGTATTGGGAACAGCAATGATGACGAGGTGGATGCCGGAGCGAGTCGATACAGGATGCAGATAACCGAGTGTGACGGCGATGCATGGTCGACAGTGGCGCACCCCCACTCGATAAACTCAACCAATAGCATCACATTATACCCTTGAGTCCGCGAAAGCCACCAGTTTTGGAAGACGACGGCTTCTTCTGTTCCTTCTCTTTGACCTTCTTCCCAATGTTCTGCGCGCCACCTGTCTCATAGTCAGTCTCTGATCTCGCAGGCTGTGATACAGATGGCTTACCTCGACCGTATATCCGAACTTCCGACTTGGGCTCTACTTTTTCTTTTCTGTCCTTGTTGGAGCTACCATCGGTATCGGCGGAGAAGCTACTCTGTCCGCTAGATTGGGGCGGCTTTGGAGCCTGAAACTGGTTGTGCAGAGAGGCGTCATATGCTGCGGAGAAATCCGGCCCATAGTTTCCGCCAAACCCAGGGTAGGGCGATGGCGCTGTTTGCGACCGTTGCGGCTTTCCGTGTTGTAGTGATTCAAGCCTAGCCGGACGAAGTGGTGAAGGACCCGCACCAGGGCTGTGTACTGACTCCGGGGAACGGTATTCGTAGTATTCTTGCTCTTCGTTTGGGGGAACCTCTGTAGTCGAGAGAGGCGTCAAGTACCTTGAGCTGTAGTTGTTCGCTGTTCGAACGCTGGAGTTGCGACTCATGCGCGATGTGCCGAAATCGATATGGCCAGCCTTGTCTCGGGGGTAGAGCTGTCCCATCTCCGCTTCTCGCTCACCTTCGAGATCGTGGTACTTCATCTGCAGCTCGGTGTACTGCTCAAGGAGACGGTAGTGGGTCTTTTTCAGCTGCTGCATCTTGGCGTTGCTCGCTGCGAGCGTCGAGTCAAGCATCTGCTGAACGGAAGACGGGAGCTGTCCCGGTATACCGGTGCTTCTGTCAGATGTTTGCAAGCGCGACTCTAGCTCCATGATCCGACGTTCGTAAGCCTTGATTGATCGTTCGCGATCTTGCTCCCGGCTGTTCAAGCGCATGTTTGCAATCTCGAGATCGTTGCGCAGGTCGTTCCGCTCCTGGATGAGGGTGTGCAATTCCTTCCTTTGATCTTCGAACGCTATGATCTTGTCCTGGGCAGACTCGAGCTCTCGTCGAATGTCGCTGTAATCCTCGAGCTCATATTCCAATGCTTTCGTTCGTTGCTGAGCTTTTAGTTGCTCTGCCTCGGCCCTCTCTACAATCTTCTTAAGCTGTTCGTAGTCTGACTGCGTCCTTTGTAATTCATATCGCAGACCGCCTTCGTCACTGTGCCATGTCTTCTCGCTCTCCTTGTATGACCGGACCTTGTTGTTCAGCTCACTCTCCCATTTCTTGGACTGGCTTCGGCTCGTGAGTGTCTCCTTTTTGAGTTGGGCATACAGCTCGTTGGCCTTGGCGAGTTTGGCCTTTAGCGTCTTGTTGGTGTTGATCAGATTTTGGGTTTCGGCTTCGGCGGTCGCTTCTTTGATATGCTTCCGTTGGAGCTGTCCAATGTGGGCAAGGTGTTGTAATTTGAGGTAACGCTCAAAGTTGAGGTCGTTCCGAAGCAGCATAATTTCTCGTTGCAGCGACGCCATGGTGTGGTTCTGGAAGTCACTCTGGCCAGAAGTCTGTCCAGATATCGATTGGGCGAAACTGTCTAGACTGGGTTGCTGCGCTACGAACCGCTGTGCCAACGGGCTAGCCATGTCCGGCTTCTTTGTATCAGTAGTAGGTGGTAGTGTTGGAGAGTCCATCATGTCGCGACCTTTGAGCAATGGAGAAGCCATCGACTTGATAGACACGGCAGACTTGATTGACTTGCTCCGTGGTACTTCAACATCTGGGATTTGTGGAGCATCACCCGAAACGTTCATAGTCGACTGAGTGTTTCTCCAGCTTTCGTCTGAGTCATGCACGGTCGTACCATCCTGATCATCCAGGGTGAACTGCGAGGGTATTTCTGGGACCGGCGGTAAAGCTGCGTTGGGTGGAGGACCGGGATCCTCCAATGTCGACGATACGGCAACGCAAAGATCCATGCACTCGACGACGACGTCTGCGGGATCACTCTTCAGCCACCTGTTTTCGCTAAGCTCATCTTCGACTGTGGTAGTGAACATATTAGGGTGCAGCAGATGGACCCGGCGGTAGGGTTCTGTCCGGCTGTGGATGAGGTCCTGATCTAGGTCGAAGTCGCGCGCTCCAGGGAAGTTGAGCGACTTGAGGTACCTCCTTGGCTTGCGCACGAAACTCATAAAGTTGAGCGGGAACAGGCCGTAGAGGAAGGTGAAGTAGTGCATGAGCGTTGGCGGGGGCGAGGCTGGGTAGTCCATGGATGGTTGCACCTGCTCCCAGGCCTGCTCTGAGCTGTCATGGTTTTCCTCGTCTTCTTCTTCGCTGTCGTCATCGTCGTCGTGCATATCCATCCCGCCAGCTTTGCCATCGTTGTTCCCCAGCTTGTCCCAACACAGTATCCGACAGTAGACAAGAAACATCTTCTCGAGGTGGTGGTCCGAGGTCAGCGCTCCGCATATGTGCGGCAAGAACATGATGAGCACGACGAGGGCCAGCTCGATGACGGTCGACGAGTTGTCGATGAGCAGGCATTTCTCTAGATTCTGGATAAGGGGCGTTTCGAGAACGAGGTGGAGATGCGGGGGCTGGAGGCGGACAAAGGCACTGAGCAGGTTGAGGGCCTGTATGCGATGTTGCTTCTGCACGAGGAGGTCGTCGAGTGTGAGGAGGAGGATCTAGAGCAGTCAGCCAAGGCCATGTGCATGTGCATGGTAGAAGAACAACCTTTGGCATCTTGCGCCCAAAGGCGACTAAGACGGCCTCGAGCTCATGGGCGATGAACTCGCTCTCTGGAGACACGGCATCGGAAGGCACCTTGGTCCTCGCCAGGTATGCGTCCAGTATCTTGTTGGTGAAGAGAGCGGACAAGCGGGCGTGCTCTCCATCGTGGTCCTCTCCGGGGTCGTAGACCAAGATGCTCTGCACAAAGGCCCTCGCATCTTCAATCTCGCTCTTCTTGTAGCCTATGCCGTCGATGACCGGTCGCAGGGCCGAGTTCCACCAGGCGGTCAGACGCGCCTCGCCTGTTATCGCGGGCCGAAGCAGTCGCAGAGCTGATAAGAAGGCGCCGCGCTTGTCGGGGCTATTGGCGACATGGCGCAGGTACAGCGCGTGGAGATCATCGTGGAAGCGCTGGGAGTCGTGGTCGTCAATGTCGTCATAGCGCTGGAGGAAGGCGTCTATGGTGGCATAGAGCTCGTCGGGCAGAGGGTCGGGCACGGTCGAGGCAGAGAAGGCGGCATTCAGAGCTTTCAGGGACTCGCGCATAGACCTGCACGTGTTAGCGGTGCTGCCACCCGGCCAGACATTGGGGCAGCAGCGTACCCAGACATGATTCTCTCTTGCTGTCTCTCTCCACCTGCCGTGGATGCAGCTGGGCGATGTGGGCGATGCGCAGTCTATAAGAATTACGGATGCAGGAGTAAGCATGTCACTGCCCATGCAGGTCCGGTCTGGGGAGCCAAAGCTTTTTGACAGCGGGAATGCGTGGGGTGACGACAGTGAGGGAGCAGCAGCCAACGGCAGCAGACAGACAGTAGTTCAGTGCTGCGCCTTCAAACACGACCTGATGCTCCTTTTGCGCGCGAGCATGGCCCCATGGATGTGCAGCGCTATTGAGTGAGCCCCGGACATGCGCCAAAACAAATGCTCGTCTCACTGCCGGCGTCCCAAGTGCCTTCAAGCATCCAAGGCCTGTTGGCGTTGATGATGCTAACCCGAGGTGCAGTGCCCAGTCGCGGCTAGGGGGCCGTGCGCCACAACCCTGCAAGCCACTACAAACGGCCTCGAGGCCACCATAGTTGCTTCTGCCACCTTTGAAGACTCGCCATTTGCCCGCTGCCTTCGGCCCATCTCGTTATTACTATGTGTCTGTCTGGCTGTCAATCCATGTGTCTGTGCACGGGACTTGTGCTACTAGACGTCTTCCATCACGACAGTTGAACACGGTCAAAAGCAACTCATCTCGAACCAACATGTCGCGGCGGCTCGTCCGAATCCAGCATGTTGGATTCGCTCGCCCTGAACCCTTGCTACGCATCCGATTCGACTTGAACAGCCTCCACCACGGCAGTCGCTCGCCGGACTGCCAATCAGACATGCTTCTGAGAGACATTTCCTATGCGAGCCTCTAATCGTCTCGCAACTCGCCCAATAATTACGTGTGTCAGCCATGCTGTTATCTTTCCCCTCGGGTCATACCTCTATATTGAAAAATGTCCCGGCGTGGCGTTTCGCTTTGCTTGGGCACGCTTGGATCAGACAGTACGCTATATGCGGCAGCCCTGCAGCCTCTCCTACCCCAATATCTCACATGTCTGACTGCTGCAAACTCAATACATAGGGTCTCCTCATGCACAAAGCAACTGTGTTTTCTTTACTCACTAGATTAGCAACAGCCGATCTTTCTCCATCCGAAAGCACGCTGGAATAGACTTTTCCAAGGCCGTCGAGTTGCGCGGGATGCGCCGAAGCGGACCTCCTCTGCCAATACTATCGCCAATTACCGATACCGAGAACACGGTAACCTCGGACCCATGCCGCCATGTGCAGCTCTGCCCCGTACCTCTCTCTTATCGCAACCATCTCCCTCATCCGCCCCATTCCGACTTTTTATTACAATTTCCATCACACCTTCTCTATCAAGATCAGCGAATCTGCCCCGTCGGGTCCTCTTCCGATCGGCTTAAAAGTAGCCCCGTATGCTGGATGCAAACGTGATCGTCTCTGGGTGTCTCGCCCTACGATAGCACTAATTCAGTTGTGATTTACGAAGCTACATGACCTAGACATATACATTACAACCGGGCATCTGATACACACAGAAATTGTGCTGTTGGAGAGTAGAAGATCCATCTGCTCTGACATGACCCACAAAGGCAGGATGACGGCCGGCGATAATCCCTGGCCTAGTAAGCGAATAACCACCAGCTCCAGGGTTGCAAGCTCTGTGTATGATAGCGCTATGTTTCGGCACAATCCAGCCATCGATCTGGAAGAACGACCAAGGCCTTCAAATCATTGTCCAGATGGCAAAGCAGTTATTAGAACAGAAGTATCAGCTAAGCCATGACAAGATCGTCGTCATCATCATCTTGTATTCTTTCGACAAGCGGGAGATGCGCAACTGTGTGGAGATAGCGGGACTCAGCACCAAGGTATGCACAATTGGTTCTGTCCAGGGTAGGAAATGTCCCTGTACAAACTGCACATGAGGCACGCTCATCGACTTTTGCCCACAACATAAGGCCACGAGCGCGATGTTGTCTTTGTGAATTTCCCCACTGACCACTAAGATAGCAAGAGTCCTTGGATTTGATGAGCGACGACCGGCGCGTCAACATTGTGGTGAGTAGGTCCAAAGAAGTCATGTCCATTGTAAGACACAACACGCTATAGAGCCAATGACTTTATGAACTTAAAAGTAAGCACTTTGCTGTCAATTGAGTCCTCCAACAAACCACAATAACCTTCACCGTCCTTCAACATACCCAGCATCACCGGTACACTATTCTCTAGACTACCCGATTTGTCGCACTTGTAAATACACTTGTTCTTCCACTCAAACTCAATTCAGACGCCACTACGGCATTTGATTCATTGTGCTCTTTGTTCTCAAGCTTCACTCCCTCGTTCTCCCGATCGATCTCAGTTCGCTTATAGTCTTTGAACTCATTATCGTGGATGGTCAGCTTTGCTGTGGCTTGTTGTTCTTCGAGGCCCTCCGCTTTTTGCATAGCTACCAGAACAGCCTGTTGCTCCTTGGTGGGGTCAGCCTCAAGCGCCTATGTGTCCCTTGAAATTCTGAGTGCTTTGCTTCAATACCGTTGGGGAGATGTGCCAGATTTGAGGCCCCGAGAGTACAGTTGTCACAATCTAGAAAGCCCAGTGGATTTGATTCGTGGAAGATCAAAGATCTCTCTTCACATGTCTATTTACGCTACACTTGCTATACAACCCAGTCGTCGGACCAGTACTTGTTCGTGCTAGACGCTTTGTATGAATGCTATCCGGAATTTGGCGGTGGGAAGCCAAGTGATACGTGCGTTATACAATCCATTCCTCCTAGACAAAAAGAGTCTACGAAGGTACACCGACGACCTGAAACTGGTAGTTGCACTGCGGCTTCGAGTTCGTAACCTCAATACTTCCATATCCGCCGCCTACCATGGTACTCTCGTCCCAAACCTCCAACTGCACCTTTCCTGGAATCAGCTTCTCGAGCCCGGTGAACTTGAACTTGTTGAAGCCAGGGCGCAGATTCGTCTTATTTAGCTCCTTGGTTCCGACGTTGACAACCGCTACGAGGTTGGTTTTGCCTTCGGGGACGAGCACGACGCCGGACACAGCATCCTCGGCGGCCCTCGCAATGTCTCCCGACTTGACTACGTCGTCGTCGTAGCAGGTACCGCCGACTGTAAGCGTATGGTGCCAGAAAGTGCCCTGAACGGCTTTTCCATTAGTGGGACGCATGTTCGCTGTTGTGCGGTCGCCCCTCTTCCATGCGGCGATGAAGGGTTGGAGAATCTGCCAGTAGCCTGTATGGTCGTATTTATCCGTGAGAAGCTTCGTTCTGTCGTCCAGCGGATCTGGGTGAAGCTTTCCCATGTAGTGACCCTCACCGGCATCGTTCCAGGTCTGGAGCTGCACTATGTCTGGTTGCAAATCGAGTACCTGACCAAACCTGTTCTCAAGGTTATCTTCGCCGCGACGGTACCAGTTGTCCTTGTTGCTGAGGTGCTTGTATTGTACTGGCGAAATACCCATCATGAACAGCTTGTTCGCTTTATCGGCAGCGGTTTGGAAAGTACGGTCCGTCGCAGCAGATACGGTGACTTTTCCGTCTTGCGTTGCAGGCCATGAGTTCCAGTTGAATACGCCATCGAGAGCAGTGCGGCTGTCGAAGAAACTGGTGCTGGGGTTGTAGATCTCAGAGAAGCCGGGCACGACTAGCACGTTGCCGACTTTGCCCTTGAACTTGTTCCAGTCGTTATCTGTAAAGTCCTCGCCGCCGAAGGTAGACATGAGAGGCTTGTCGATATTATCAGATGGGTCTCGCATCTTGAGATAAGAAGGATGAGTGCTATAACGCTTGAAGTAGTCGGCGTAATCCATGGGACTTTTCAAAACGCCATGACCATGGTCAAAAGAGAAGAATAGACTGAAGCCGCCAATGTCTTTGGCATTATCGAACATGAAGGTTACGGTGTCATTGGACCACCACGCGAATTGGTCTGGGGTTTGTCAGGAAGGCGTTGAGCTTGCATCGATAAGAGTCTGTACCAAAGTTGAGCGCAAAGCCATCCAAACCAATATTCTTTGCGTCGAGAATATCCTGACGGACATCACTCTTTTGGAGGCCACCCACCATGTAGTGTGCCACTCTGCGCAAAGATCAGTATACGTAAACATCCAGCACCAGGTAACTTACATTGGCCTGTCGACGACAGAACGTGGTGTAACCCGACCAGCAACAGCGCTAGCCATAAGGCCGACAGCGAATGTAGAATCAAACCGCATCTTGTAGCTTGAAAATCTCGTACAAGTACCAAGTCAGTGATGTGGTTGATGGTGGGATAGGTGGTTGTGCCAGTCTACTTTATAGCCCCGATGTCGTATTTCGTAGTGTTCCTCGAAACATGCGTCTGCGTAAGGCCACCGACTACACAGCCCGTGGCAGCCTCGCCGTTCAGGACAGTAGCGGCACGAAATGAAAATTAGGCCTGCCAGCAGGGATGCTCGTTCAGACGGTAGCATCGTGGTCACGCTGGCTTTCCACCTTATCCGAACAGCCCTCCATGAATATCTGCGCGAAGCCTGTCCCGCTCTTCGCGCTGGTCCAGCGATTATTGGCCTACCAATACTTCACCTGTTCCCTAGCTGTTAAAGGACCAATTCGCTGATTGCAACGAATGCGAAAAGATTGCAAGGACCATTCCGCGCATCTCCGCAACGCCACTTGCAATTCGGGCCACCAGCTGTGGAGACGCTTAGAGACCCGTGTAGGTTGGTAAGGCATTATCGGCATGGTTAGACTGCGATCAATGAGCCGTCTTGCTAGCCTTTTGTTCTAGAATAATGATAATAATGCGTCGTTGCATGATGCGTTACGCGACGGGCCGCGACGTGGATGAAGGAATCGGATAAGCCCAATCAGATTTGGTACTAACGTTGACACCTCTTGATACCTCGGCTCGGTACAGTAGTAGGTCAGTCAATGCCCGCCGTCGGCCAATGCCCGCGTTTTACTAGTAAAATAGCAAACTTCTAGATTCTAAATATTGAGAAAATTCTTAACAGTAGTAAGTACTAAAGAAGTTATTAGCTATAATACTTCTTTTACTATTAGAACGCAGCTCTACCCTACTATGCTATGCAACTAAAAAGGTACGTATAATTAGTAGTTTACTAATTATAGTATAAAATAGTATATATTGTTAGCTAGGCCTAACATTTTCAAGCGTAAATATAGATCTTATAGTATGTCTTCTTAACTACTCTATATATTTTAGCTTTTATTTAAAATATAAAAGATTTTACTATATATAAAGCTTTTTATCTTTTTAGATTTTTAAAATAGCTTTTACTTAGAAAGCTTATATTTATATAGTAGACTTATAGCTAAGTAACTAAGCTACCTAGTAGTAAAATAGTATAGTAAAGTTATAGAACTAGCTTTCTAGATTATAAATATAAAGAAATCTTCTAAAAAAAATATTAAGTGTTAAGGAAGTTATAGCCTCTAGAAGTATCTACTTTTACGAGTAAAACGCGGGCATTGAGTGCACGGATACTGTAGTCTCCCGCCTCGCCGTCATCATCCACTACGGCCCGCTGTAATAATAGGGTCCAATAAGTCCACGAGAACGCTATCAGACCATGATGTCGTGTTTCTACGCGCCCAATGCGAGGTGGGTCGTGAGGGCGCACATAACTCAACAGTTGAGCGAGCGGTACTATCCAAAACAACTCACAGAATGGTGGTGAATACGAACTCCATCGACCAATAAGAAACCATCTCAAGTGGCTTCGTTTTTAGATTGATGTGATTTGATAAGCACCCGGTAACAATGGTGTCAATTGAATATGCCTACTAGGTTGAGTACGATCATCCAACCTGTGCTATTCCATCAACACAACATCCTTCTTTCACCCTGTCGGCCTACTGTTTGTCTCCTCTCTCACCTAGCCCCTCTTTCCCTCCTTGCACCTTCGTCGCGCCTCCAATTCCTGTCGTCCGAGTGGGCTGCGCCTGATGGTCTGGTTGCTTGGCCGGATGATCTGGTTGCTTGGCCGGATGATCGTCTCCGCTCTTGTTCTCATCTTTAGAGGCACTAGACTGGTGATCCGTGTTTTGCGTGTCCGAACGCATCTTCGCGTTTGGTGCGGCAGAGGAGTTTTCAGATGGATCCGGAAGGTTGGAAGCAGGATTCGGCGTGTCCATCAACTTTGCGTGGCTGGGTGTGGTAGTGAAAGCGCGCAATTGGGATATGATTGGGCGTTGGAAGGTGCGCAGACGAAGGCTGATTGACGACATGGTGGGTATGTTGACGCTTTACGACCTGATGTTATTGCTGAGAATATCTTGAGAGGAATCCACAGGTAAATAGGCTTGAGAATCAAACAATCAATGTCTACAAAGTTTGACAAGTGTCAGAAGCTCGATTGTTGCAAGACGGATATGTGATGTCATTGTGACCGCTACGGCAGTGGCGAAGATCCGCAATTACCCCTGGAGTTGCGAGAGCACAACTCGGCGTCCCTGGACTAATTCTACGCATGCTTCGTGTGCGAACAGAAGACGAAAGGAGCTATGCGAGCAGGTGCCTCGCCATGCCCAGCCAGGTGTTGTAGCAACACGTGCTTCATGCATTAGCGTGCTGACTACGCCTCATTGGGTGGCGCATTGGGCTCCTTCCGTACTCGAGCTATTCGGAGAGCCTTGGGACGACATATTGTAATGCCGACAAGGGAAATTGGGAAATCAGACACGCAGTCGACATCACACCATCTCGTCTGTTGAGATGCGAGAATTTGTGCTCTTTGGTGATTCGCTCACCGAATGGAGCTTCAGCGAAGAAACGCAAGGCTTCGGGCTTTTTCTTAGGCAACAGTATCAAGACAAAGTACGGATCGTCAACGAAGGTAGGTCTCAGCAAATCCTCTACCATACTTTTCAAATCTTAATCAGACATTGGGTCTACTATTTGTCATTTTCGTGCCGACCGACAAGCATCGCCTAAATGGCCATGTCTAATATGTTGCCCGAGATCGTCTTGTTCGGCGCTTCGATGACAGAGTGGAGTTTCAGAGAAGAGACACAGGGTCTTGGGTGGTTTTTAGGAAAAAAGTATGCGGGCAAGACGAGGGTGGTGAATGAAGGTATTATGCACAGTTCCGTTGGTGTTTGTAGCGAAGTATAGATGAGCTTTAGATCGTATGCTGACTGACAACAGGCAAAGCAGGGTACGCAGCTTAATTCACATTCATGGCCTATATATTGACAAGTTCTGTAGTTATACATCGACCCGTCTCAAAGATGACTTCACTCGTATAATCGACCGCGCAACATCCCCAGGCGCGGCACCAACCCTCCTGTTCACAATCTTCATCGGCGCAAACGACGCCGCCATGCTTGGGGAGACGGAGTATGTGCCTTGGCCCATCTTTTCAGCAAATATTCGAGGCTTTCTCGAAACCATCCTTAGTGAGGATGCTTTGGAAAATACGAAGATTCTGCTGATCACCCCTCCGCCCATTAACGGATTTGTGGTCGAGACTGGAGAGAACAAGTCTGCAAGGGAAATTGAGGACATCAACCAGTGGAGAAAGGAAGGCCCAAGGTACAAGACGTACATGAGCAAAAAGAGGTATGCAGATGGTATCATGCAAATTGCGAAAGAGTACGAAAAGACGGGGAGGGTCGTTGGACTCAATTTCTGGCAGGACCTTGTGCATGCAGTCGTCACAGAAGAGGGATGGCAGTACGATGAACAGGTACCACCAGGATGCGGCCTGTTGGGCGCGCAGTCGTTCCCAACAGGGTGGTTTACAGATGGGCTGCATCTCGATATCAAGGGATACAGAGTACTGAATAACGTGTTATTGGAGTTAGTGACTGCAAAGTGGCCAGAGCTAGCACCCGAGGCGCTGTAAACCTGTATGCAATCATGCATTCGTTCTACTGGGTATCTGATCCGCTCAAACCACGCTCAACCCCTGTTCAAAGTGTTTCCTGAACCTTTGGGATTCGCCTCTACATACTCATCCCATGCTCGTTGCTTCATCGTCTCTTCGTCTGCTGCAACGAGATCGTCCTCATTTGGCTCAGGCTGCATCTCAGACTGAGGGCCTCCACCCTCTATCATGCCACCTCGGCGCTTCTCTTCCTCTAAGTATTCATCTATCGTCATTGTCGGTAGACTGTGGTCCGGACGGAAGACGTTCTTCTTCAGGGTTTGGCGGCTGTCCAATAGCGTAAAAGGCCGCATGGGTTTGCCGTCACCGCTCAAGATAGGCCCGGAGTACCGCAGCCCAGCATACTGACCATCAAGGCGCTCAGAATAACCGTCTTTATCTCTACCATCCTGTCGGCTGTCAGGCGCTTGCTGTGCCTGTCCCTGTGGGGGCGCGGGTGGAGCCAGCGAGATGATGTGCAATTCCTGGGCCATGGACTCCAGCGAAGCAAACGTCTGATGCACCATGAACGCCAAGTTGGTCAGATGCAACTCTCGTACCACTTGCTCGTCCTGTTCGGCAAGTTTTGGATTTTGTCGCAGGTACTGTTGTCGCATGTCTTAGCTCCAGATTTGACCCGTAAAAGCAACGTTAGCGTGACAACGTACCTCGAGTTTCCGCTTCAGCTCCTTCTCCTCCCTGAATCGGGAAATCTTTGCGTCCCGTCTCGCTGCGGGATCCCGCGTGTTAGCGGTGGAGAAGTTGCCCTTATCTTCCGTGTAGACTTCGAAGAGCTTCGCGTCCGCCTTGCCAAGCACATCATAGGAATCTAGGAGCTTGAGGAATCGCTCGTAGTGCCCCCGCGCTCGTAGCAAATTTTGTTTTCGAAATGATATTTCAGTGTTGAAGATCTTTTGTATGAGTTCTGCCAGGTGATAGTTTATCGCCATGTATCTGAATGGGTAAGCGAGGGCCATGGGCACGGGATCGTGGGGTGGGTCGGAATACGCACTGTAGATCAGACGACGATATGTCTTCTAGAGTCTCGTTCGGGCTGAACAGCGACACCTGTTCCGATATCTTTAGGCATTCTTCGTAGGTGGCGATGGTCGCGCCGAGGTTTTCCTGGTAGGTGGGACTGTTGGCTTCGTAAGAAGAAGAAAGCTCTTCGCGCGCCCTCTCGGCCTTTGAGAATAGTCCCCGGAGACTTTGCGGTTCGTTCGACATTGTGCAGAGGTTCTGGCTGAGGATCGTGACGATGTTGAGGAAATGGTAGTGGGGAGACACGTGAGAGCGTGAGTTGGCGTTGATGAGTCAGCATCGACCCTTCCTAAACCGCGTACCCCGCTATCGCCGCGGGTACACCGCGCACTCCTGAAAGCGGTGGCTTCATGGTGACAGACATTTCTAATGCCAACTTCTCCCGGCATGTTCAAACGGTCACGACTGTCCGGTAGGGCCAGGACGAGCGAATTTGTCTGAGCACCCGTTGTCGGTTACATGCATCGTTTGCTTGCTCACGGACGCGCAACAGACTGCGCAAATACTGGCAGCGCCCTTGTCCTCGACCGTTAACTGCGTCTATGAGAGTTTCTCCTTTCTCTCACTCTCTAAATCTCGTGAAAAGCTTCTAGTAACCCTTTGGCAACCGACAGTATGGTGGATGCCACAAGCAAATCGTGGGTGACAATCGAAGAGCAACAAGAAGATTACTTCTCGTTTGAGGAGATATTGGCGTCTTCCGATTCTGAAGACGAAGACGATAAACATAACGAGACAAGGTCACAAGACAAGGATGAAGACTCTGATGTAGACGCTGACATTGCGCATGCGCATGGCCCAAGCACAACATCAGAGAGACGCAGAGCGCAGAACGAGATCTTGAGAGCCTTTGCTGCTAACATCAGTTCGCACTTGACGCAGAAGGAAGTCGACGATGCTGCCGCAAAGACTGCCCACGAAGAGCAGCTTTCGATCCGCGATATCTTGGCAAAACAAGATGGCACCGCTCGCATCACGAACCCACGCGACTATCAAACCGAACTGTTCCAGAGAGCCAAGAGCGAGAACGTGATAGCAGTGCTGGACACGGGCTCCGGCAAGACCCACATCGCAACTCTGCTCCTGCGACATGTCCTAGATGGCGAGCTTGAATATCGGGGTGCAGGCGGCGTCCCCAAGATTGCGTTCTTTCTGGTAGACTCAGTCAACCTCGTCTTCCAACAAGCAAATGTCTTGCGGTGCGGTCTAGATCAGAGTGTAGAGGGTATATGTGGCGCTATGGGTGCATCGCTATGGTCGAAATTGACCTGGGAGAGTCACTTTCAGAGTAACATGGTGATAGTATGTACCGCCGAGGTTCTCGTGCAGTGTATGATGCACTCCTTCATCACCATGGCCCAGATCAATCTCCTCATCTTTGACGAGGCCCATCATGCAAAAGGCAACCACCCCTACGCCCGTCTGATAAAGGACTACTACGTTCATGAACCGAAGCTTTCTAATCGGCCTCGTATCTTTGGGATGACAGCTTCTCCGATCGATACACGAGGATTGTCGATCGACCACATCAGAAACGTTGCGAATGACCTCGAGAAACTACTCCATTCCAAGATAGTCACGACGTCTGAGAGCGTTCTCGCTTCGAACAGTATCAGCAGACCCATTGAGGAGATAGCGGTATATGAACGGCTGCAGGACGAGTGTGAGACGCCCCTCCATCAAAAGATAAAGGCCAAGTTTGGAGACATATCGGCGTTCAAGAAGTTGTTCGTCGCATCTAAGCACCACGGCTCCGAGCTAGGCCGTTGGGCTTCCGACATGTATTGGTCTTTCGCTTTCACTGATGAGCAGAGTCGCAAGCTCGAAGATCGTGAGCACCTTAAGCACAACAAGATTAAACAAGACGGTGCCGCGCAGGAGTGGGACGCTCAGTCCAAACGCTTACAGGAGGCGGCCACATTTGTACAACAGTTCGACTTCGGTTCGTGCGCCCTTAGCGACGAAGATTTGAGTTCAAAGGTTCTTAAACTTCGTCACTGGCTCAATCTTTACTATGAGCGCGATGATGGAGCTCGTTGCATCGTCTTCGTCACGCAGCGACAGACCGCTCGCCTGCTTGAGCTCATCTTCTCCCAGATCGGCGGACCAAACCTCCGTTGCAGCGTTCTTGTTGGGGTGAATAATCGTGTATGCGAGCACAATATCTCTTTACGGAACCAGATTCTGACAGTCGCTAAATTTCGTCGCGGTGAACTGAACTGCCTGTTTGCCACATCCGTAGCAGAGGAGGGGCTCGATATTCCACAATGCAACCTTGTCGTACGGTTCGATCTCTACCGCACCATGATAGCATACGTG